GGGGGGGGGGGGGGTCCTGTTACACACAGGGGAGAAGAGAGAGAGAGAGAGAGAAAAAAAAAATCTGAATTTCAAAATATTTACGGTTATGCCACTAGGCTTCTGTTGATCGTAACTTCTTTGTTACAACTCCGATTTGAGCCCACTATGTGTCTACAGACTCATCTCGATGCGATATATGTCATGGTGCAATTCATTTCCCCAAAATCCTACTGGATTAAAAAGTGACCAAAATAACCCTAACCCGAAGGGCAAAATTGTAATTTCATAATTTATTAAATTAATTAAGTTTAAAGAATAATTAAAATTTGGGTCGGGATGTTACACTTGTCCAGGAGTTTGGCAATGCGGTTTTGGACATATCTACAAATACATATAACTAAGTGTTAGATTGATTTTAGATTTACCATTGACTTGAGTCTTTAAGTCAAATGGTACCTCTCACTATTTTTGTCAAATTCCATATCCCCTATGATGGAATCCGAGAGTTTTGGTTAAAACTCTTAGTGGGATGGGAGGCTCCCTATTATTTGAATCACCGCACCATAATAGGATCTAGGGATTCTACGGATAATAAAGAGAAGGCATGTTTGCCCATGCACATCTTGATGTGATTACCCATTCTGTTCCGCCTTTAGCAAATGTGAACTCCCAAATATTATTGTGAAGTCTCATTGTACTAGTCAAGTCTTAGTCCACCATGCTTGTTTAGTATATGAATCAAACATAAACCTCATCATATTAGAATGTTGGTCATGTTTGTCTCTATCTTCACAACATCCAATTTATGACATGGATTCCTCCTAAATACAAGTACTTTTCTTTGCTCCTCTCATATCTGAGTGCAAGCCTTTACTGCAAGGGTCATGTCTATTTGGAATCCACTATGGTGGAAGGCCACGCAAAGGACATAAAAAATGCCTTTCATTTATCGACTTAATGTTATCAATTGATTTAGGGAGTTTGGGGTCTCATCTTTTAATCTTGTTTAAACACTTTACAACATATTGTCCTAGGACAACTATTACTCCACTAAACATACTAATAGTTACACTATACTTCCACTATTTAGTTTCAAAAACTCAAATCAATTTCATAAAACTATTTTATTTTCCAAAATTGGGAATATGTATTACTATTAACGAAATGCTTTTGCATTCCTTAAGAAGGGTTAAATAGTTGTCTATAGGCTCATGGATGATTATGGACTTCTAAATTTCGATTCAATATCAAGCCAAGATGTTGAATCTAGGTCTTTGGCGGGTTATTGATTTTATTACGCATTTTAACTACTTTAAAACATTCATGGTTGGTGGGCATTGGACCCAATACTATTCTTAAAGTCCCCAACTAATCTTCTTTCTCCTTTGTCTTCTTCTCGGGTTCCTAATTACATAACTAATATGGGAATAGAACACTGAAAGCCCAATGGGCCTTGAGGGAATTACAATTTAAGAGAGATTGAAATTACATTGGAGAATGAGAGAGAAGCATGCAAGCTTCTATTTAATTTGCAAGCCCAATTGCTAATTAAACAACCTCAAAATAAAATTAGTTACAACTCATCCATTCAATCAAACCCATACATCTAATGAATAACAGCCAATCACATGGGTCAATTTGGTTTTTGGGCCTCAAGTCCTTAATCATCCCTTATTCCAATTATTATATGCAAACACTAAACAATTGAGAGTTAGAACATATGGGCCTATTTCTAATGGAAAATTGTAATGTTTCACTAAAAGACAAAACAATGCAAAATCGTAATTTTTAAGAGTTATGGGTCAAAACTGAAAATACCATATTTAAAATATGGACCCATATTTTTCGAAATTTCATGAAGACCCAAATTGGGTCTCTAATAGGAGTGGGCCAGTTTTGGAGAGAGAGAGAGAGAGAGAGAGAGAGAGAGAGAGAGAGAGTGTGTGTGTGTGTGTGTGTGTGTGGTCCATGTGGGTTAGTGAGAAGTAGGTGAAAGATGACATTACCAATTGTACCCACAAAGCATCTTTTATCTCATTTGCCAATTTCAAAAGATGAAATGGAAATGGGAGACACAAGGTACAATCTTTGGTGGTCTATGTCATAAAATGCTTTTAACTAACATGTAACATCCATATGATATATCATTTTATGAATCAAAAGACAAGATCTATAGGGAACAATAACATTTTCATGAACATGTGATGTCTCAAGTTTGATAAACACCTTTAAGTTACATCCTTTTGGTACGACGTATAGTGTTCTAAAAAACAAACAACTCATACACAAGACAACTACGATGTCTCATGTATGAGGACTATTTTGCATTATCGCAATTTAGAATTCTTTGTTTGACACTTGTGAGTAAGACTTCCATACAAGAATTCTTGAGTTGATCGCGTTCAGTGAACTCCATCTGTATATAGCACCTACACACGTGTCTTAGTGTCTCTACACGAATGACTTGAGACTGGCCATCCTCCCGATTAAGCAAACATAGTGTGTACCAGTCTTTGTGGTTCATCATTGTCCTATTGTCGATCCTATGACTTGGAACCTTTTAGGATACGATATTCCTATGATGGAAAGGTCTTGTGAATCTAACTTCTTTAGACAGCTTTCCATTTATACCCTTATCCATGAACTTGTTACTTTGTGTACATTATGTATCTTAAAGTAACATTCAAGCCATTTTGATTGTATTAATTATATTATATCCTTATAATTTTTTCACTTTTATATTTGCTTCTAGGGCATATATCTAACAGCCCATTGTAGAATGGACGTGGGAAGAAGGTTAATGAGGTAGACAACGGTTAAGGCAACCTCAACCCATAATTCGACCATACCCACCATAGGGGATTGAATTTAAGGAATTGTTTTGAAGATCAAGGTACTGGAGCTCCCTGAGTTGGAATATAGAGGATGAAATTTTTCCTTGAAGTGGATTTTGAAGCAGGTCAATACGCTGAAGACCATGTATTCCCACATTTATATATATATTTGGCCAGATCCAAATCTGTTGTTGATGGAGGCCGTGTTTTTAGGAGTGGACTAAGGGTTTGGGTTGATGGGTTGTGCTGGGAAATATGGGGCAGGTTCAAAATAAGGGGCTAGGGAAGGGGGAGGTTGTGGCGAGGTGGGTGACTGTGTAGGTGTTGGGGCTGGGCTTGGGAGAAGAGAGAGGAACAGAGAGAGAGGTGGGGGTGTCTTGAGAAGTTGTGTGGTGGGAGGGTGGTAAGGGTTGGTTGCTGGATGGGTGATGTTGGGTGGGGTTGGAATGGTGGTGGTGAGGGTGGCTTTGGGTTGGGTGCTGGTTGTGATGTGGTCTAATGGTGTGAAGTTAGGGGAGGGGGAAGAGACAACAAAGAGAGAGATGGAGGAGAGGAAGAGATTTTTTTAATATTAATTTTTTTCCATTTTTTATATTTTTTTATATTTTTTATATCAACAAGTAATTACATTATTTAATTATTTAATTTTTATTTTTATTTTTTATTAATATTTTAGTCTACTTAAGCAAAAAAAGTGAGGCCTGCACATGACACGTCATCACTTATGGTAAAAAGACTAAAATAGTCATGCCACGTCAACAAAATTGACGGAGTTATAAATGAAGATAACGGTATGGGGCAAAGTGGAACACAAAACCTTAGTCAAGGGGGTTAAGTGAGCCACTTTAACTTACGGGGGGTAAATTGAGATTTGACCAAGTTTCAAGGGGTACTACAGTAAATAAGCCTATTTTCTACACTCGCAGTATTTGTCAGCTCGCTATATAATTAACTTAAATCAGTTAAACCCATCATTCAATGCATTTCCTTTCAATTTTTTATAATGAAGTAATAGATAATTGACTAAATAAACAACCTCAAAGTTTCAAGAAAAATTTTCAGGTTTTTCTTACAATTTCCATGGTTTTTATTCAATTTTTATCGATATCGATAATTTACCGAAATTTCCATCGATATTTCCGTGTTTTATACTATCAATATTTCCGTAACCATCAATATTTTAGACCTTTGGGAAAACTCATCCTAAAGGAAAAACAGTTATCTTTTTGGTCTCAGGAAAAACAGTAATTTGTTTATGATGTTTAAGATTTCCCTCCCTCCCAAAAATTGAAGAGTTGAAACATCATCGTCTTGTCTTTTTCTACGATTAGCTTGCAAACCAAATTTTTTACACAAACATTGTTCCTCTACTGGACTTCCACCAAAGTTGGCAGGACAGATATGTTAGGTACCAAAAGCCAGAAAGAGCGAACTACACGAGACAATTCTTCATTCATATCCAAAATGGCCAAAAGCATGAGACTAAAGAATACCGTACTATTCTATAATTTCTCCAAAGTGAGATAGAACATCTAAGGAGAGCGTTACACGTGTCTATGGGCTGCTATCAATAGGGCCATACCAAGGGATCCGAAGGCCCAGTAGCATGGGATCGTAACAGGATACCTCAACATCTTTCTGAACCAACTTTTCCAAGAATGGAGCACTTTTCGCATTTTTCAGACTCTCTGCTGCCAAGTAATAGATTGCCTTCTGGTTCTCAGGCATGTTCTCGACATAATCATCTAAGCTTATCAGTTCTTCCTCACTTTTTGAACAGTAGAACCGCAACTAGGGTGTGATGCTCTAGTGATTTCCAGAGTCCTCGATGCATCCCAACTTTAGAAACCTGCCAAAGTTCTCCAATAATTTCTTGTAATCCTGGGATCAAGTAATACCATTTTCCAAGTTAATAACAATTTTCAGCCTTTCAAGTGGAATCAAAGAAGAAAACACAAGCTTAATTGCTGCTACCACCCTCTTATTTTCACTCTCAAAGATCTCTTGAATCATGTCAAATGTTTTCTGTATGAGTCTCTTTCTCATAATCCTTACCTGAAAATAGCAGATAGATGGACACTAAGAAATAATACAATACGACCTGATACAAATATCTAAGCACATAACAAGAACAAAGAACAAAATATTAACTGCTACAGAGATGTCCAAAGAGTAATAGGATTCCCTTCACAAAATGCATAAAGATAGTGGAGAACTAGGGCTTACAATTCGACTTTCTTGAATACCCTCTTGAGAAACATTAAGAGGAATATCATTCGAATCCACCAGACCCTTAACAAAGCTCAGGTATCAAGGAAACTGCAAAAGAATAATTCAATGTATTACAGCCACAAACCATATTTCCAAGCAAATAAGCATCAACCCCAAAATGTATTTTCAACATTCCAGATGGTACATCACAATTGTAGCTGACGCAATTGACTATAACATCTAAACAACTCCATTGATGATGAATAAAAAACTCTTGTTTTGATTAGAACATGTAATAACTAAAAAGAATATTAAGGGATACTTCATTTTCCAATTTAAATACAGAATAAACAGTCAACACCAGCATTGTTATACAAATTATTTTCCACATAAAGTAAATCACAAAGGAAACTTAGGGCCTGTTTGGTTTTCAACTTGAATCCAACCTCTTAAACTCAAAAACAGAATTTGAGTCCAAAGCAAAGAAAACCTATTTGGCAGCCCAATTTTTAAAAACTCAAACTCAAGAACAGCTAAAGAACACCCCAATTATTAAAAACAAAAAATATCTGTTTTTTCAGTTTGTTTCTATCAACCCACAAGTTCTCAAATTTTTAAGATTTGAAAACAGTTTTCAAGTTGCATACCAAACAAGTTTTTGAATCTTAAAAATAGATTTAAGAACTCCTTGTTTTTAAGAAAAATCAAAGTTTTTGAGTTCCCTATTTGAATAGGATACCAAACGCCCCTTAATGTGCAACAGTATATGCAACAAAGAAGATCACCACTGACATGAAACCAAAACAACAAACTAAATAGAAGCTCAAATTCACATGGTTTCCAATATATCAAAACTTAGCAGTTCACCATCAAAATCATCTGAGATAAATATCCGTTTCACATACAAATGTATATTCTTTGTTCTTGCATTCACTACATCCTCATTGTTAAGAGACCCATTCCAGGAATATAAAGAACACCGCTGAACTCCACCTCACCCTGCGCAGATTTTAAAGTTAAACTCCAAATCTGCTACATTTTCTACCTCAACCAAATTATTAAAACAACTGCCAACAAGAGAGAGAGAGAGAGAGACCTCAGTGGTGAAGTGAGTGTATGCAACTGGATCCAAGAACTCACTGAAAGTTTTCTTGTAAAATTCATGGTACTCATCTTTTTCAACTTCCTTTGGATTCTGCATCTGCACAAGAACAAAAGCAAAATTAATTTTAAAAAAAGGCTAATAAAATATATAACAAGAAAATACAAGCACATTAGACAAGCAGACCATGCAGAATCTAAAATACACGTAAGAACAACAGATACTCTTAAACTTATAACTGCAAGGTATAGAAGAAATATAGCGTCAAGGATTAATTTGCAATACTTTTCTGATTTTGATAAAAGTTTCTACACAGAGAGTCATATTTTGATAACAATACTTTTTTTATTATCACCTACAATGTACACTTGACATGCACCTTCAACTAATAAAGAAGTAACAGTCCAACCATTAAGGAAAAGATGACTCACATGCAGATATCCAATTCTACTAATACCTTCAAAACTTGCCATATAGAGGGAAAGGGTTTGACAAAGCAGAAAATGAAGTCCTCCCCTCAACAGTCCTTGATTTTGCTTGCCATGCATAGATGGGGAAGGAAACAAACTGCAAGTAATTCTTCACAAAACCCTGGATCTGGGCCGGCTCTGAGAATTCATACTTGTCATCCGGTTGAAAGGAGAAATATAACTTAAGATAGTTCTCCATAAGACATCAGAGGTCTGGAAATGGGATGAAACTTAATTTAAGAAGAAGAAAAAGAGGTCTGGAAAAGCATAAAATGTCCTCTGAAAAACAAAAGAACTAGGAAAGGAATCCTAAGTGCTGTTTTGACTTGGTCCTCTGGAAATATTTATTTTTTATGAGAGAATGAGACATGAATATAATGTTATACCTCATGAACTGAATTTTTCTACTGAGCCGGCGAACAAGTTTTCCCAATGGTCAGATGCCAAAAGATCTTCACTTCCCCCATGGATTACTCACGAAGAAAGCCAAGTTTGAACATCTCAGCTAGAAGCTCAGCTACTGAATTGAGATCACCAACAAGACGAAAAGTATTCAGCATCACCTCACACAGTTCTTGATCAGGACAAATCCCATCGGATAGCATCATACAGAAAAAATATTTTGCATCAGTTATTAGACACCTTTTGCACAATCTATTAATAACAGCACTATAATCCCGAATGGAAATTTCAAATCCTTTCTCCACCATTTGATGGAAGAGCCCCACTGCCCTATGTACATCACCCTTTGCACAATGTGCTTTGATCAATGTGGTATAAGCAACTTTTGTCAAATTGATATTGCAGTCGCAAAGAGAAACCAGTAGCCTGTCAGCATCCATTAGGTCACCATATACACAAAGACCATTGATGAGAACATTATATGTAACAGGAGTAGGCTCAAGATTATGAACCAACATCTCATTGTGCAACTGAAAAGCTTTCAAGAAGTCTCGACCTCTGCAGAAACATTTGATCAGAGTATTATACGTGATTTGGTCTGGGGTTAGGCCCTTAGCATACATGTCCTCAACTAAGTGAACAGCCTCCTGCAGCTTCCCTAGTTTGAAAAGTGCTTTAATTACTACCGTGTAAGATACATGAGTTGGCTGTACAGCATTTGCTTCCATCTCCTGAAGCAACTTAAGCATGCCATGGATGTTTCCTCGTTCAATGTTGGCATTCATAAGAGTAGTATAAGTAAATGGACTTGGGAGCAAGCCATGCAGCTTGATGGTATCCAACATCTTATGAGCCTCAACCAGTTTCCCAGTTTTGCAGAAACCATAAATAAGAGTATTGAAAGTGACAATACTAGGATTTATTCCCTTTTCAATTATTTGTTTATATAATCGTGTGGATTCTACAATGTTACCTAATTTTACATATCCATCCATCATAATATTATACAGCACAATATCCTCTGTCACATCCCTTGTTAGTAGATTATCAAAATATTTCCTTGCCTCGGATATATCCCCTTTCTCACGCAGACCTAACAGAATAGAACGGTGTGCAAAGTAATTGGGAATGATTCTCTTCATGTACATTTCTCTATATAGTTCACTTGCCCTCTGAACATCTCCTTGCTTGCATAGGCCATGAATGAGGATAGAGTATGTTATAAGATCTGGTTCCAAGCCAACAGCTTCCATCTCATACAGCAATCTCAATGCTTCTTCTACTTGTCCGCTTTTACACAAACTGCTGAGAAGTACACTGTATACAAGGACACTCAACTGAAAACCCCTTGAAAGCATCTCTTTCCGCAACTTAAGGGCTTCTTCAATATTGCCGGCATGGCAGTGTCCACATATCAAAATTGTATATGTCACATGATCCGGATTCAACCCTTTAATCAACATCTTCTGAATGATCTCGCGAGCTCCACTCATCAAACCAAGTAGATGAAACCCCTTACAAAGAATGTTGTAGGTAACTGTGTCAGGCTGTACCCCATGCGTCTCCATGTCTTTAGTGAACTCCAATGCTTCTTCCAATGAACCAGCTATACACAGCCCATGAATAAGAATATTATAACTGTATGAATCTGGAAGTAGTCCACACTTGAACATCATACAAAAAAACGACTTCGCAATATCCACAAAACCCAATTTACAAAACCTAGACATGATGGTATTGAATGAAACAACTGAAGGCCCACTCTCCCCTCTTTCCACACCCATGAGGAACGAAACTGCATCTTGTAGGCCAGATTGCTCACACAGTCCATCTATAAGTATGGCAATAGTGTGGTCACTCTGATGAGTTCCACTATCTTTAATTTCATCATAAACACGCCACATGATATCTGTATGCCTTAAGTTATGCAACAGGCAGTTATAGGTTGGTGTTGAAACGTTCAAATTCAGATCTTTCATCCTAGCAAGAACAGACAGAGCATCATGAATCATCTCAGATCTTGAATAAGCAAACGCCAACATATCCCACACCACACCACTCGAGTCCCAGTCCATGAATCTATGTAAGAGCAGCTCACAAAGTGAATGTGCCGAACCGGGCCCTATCACAAATCACAATAAATCTATAAACAAAAAATTGATCAAAGATAAAGAACAAAAGCAACGAAACGATTAGGCTCCACCCATTACTCAGCCAGCCCCAATGTACCTATGAGCCTTGCCTAATCTCAGAAACCAGGTCCACAATCTATAATAAAAAGAAAGTACTTAAAAACCGTACCTTCCTCATCCACCATTTGCTTCACAACCAAACGCAGCTCTTTAAACAGCCTTCTCCCCGCTAATACATGAGCAACAATAAACTCTGAAACCCTGGAATGCCGAAACGCATACTCATTCCTCAAAAGGTTGAAGAAACCGAAAGCCGACTCCGGGTTCTCAATGCTCAAGCTTTCAATAATCAAATCCACCTGAGGCTTATTCAAAGTCGGGATAATGGTTTTGAAACGATGATCACCTACACAATTTCCCAAACCAAACATTCTCAAGCCGGCAATGACTTCGGAGACGGCGTTTCTAGGGTTTGGGACGACGGTGGGCTCGTCATCAAGCTTGGCTGCAGACACTGAGGGTTGAGTGAAGATAAGGGAAGAGAGGGGAGCGAGAATTCGAGATTTTTGTAATATATGTATGGGCTTCCATTTATGGATGTGATTGAGCATGGAAATGGGGACTAGGGTTTAAGCATAAAAGGGCAAGAGCCGTGTGGTTCTCACGAAAATTGGAAAGCTGAGAGAGAGAGAGAGAGAGAGAGACGGGAGAACAGAGAGTGCTTTGCTTTTGGACCAAATTCGAAGCGGGAGAACAGAGAGTGCTTTGATTTTGGACCAAATTCGAAGCTTTAGTGATGCAAACTGTGGAGGGAGGCTAGGGTTTTAGGGATCCGTTTGGCTTCCCGGCAATTTTGAAGCTTCACCCGGTGGGCAATTTTGAATCGAGCCGAACCGAATCGAAAAAGATCGGAAAAAAGTCAAGTTAGGCTCAAAATCGAACTGTACCACTTCGGATCGGTTCTAATCGAATCGAATAGATTTTGTTAAGTTTACTTATTTATTTATATTCAAAATTATTAATAAGTTTAATTAATATTCATTTATATTCAAAATTATTAATAATTCTAATTAATATTCAAATAATATTAGTAACTTCAAGTATTATTTATATTTTAACCCAATTAATACCCAAATATTTTAGTTCCAATTTATTATGAGTGCTGCTATTTCCACCCACCTGTCCTATTTTTCCACCCACCTTATCTTTCCACCCACCATATAAATTTTAAAAAATACAATCATATTTTTCCACCCACCAATAGTCCTAAAATACCCTTTTAATTATTACCTCATTTCCTCTCTCCTTTTATTCTCTCTGTTCAGTTTCAAGCTTTCAAAAATATGTTCTCTTCTGATTGCAAGAACTATATGGAACAGTGGCTTTCTTCTCTTAAAAACTTTGACGCCTAAGACTAGCTGACATATCTCAAGATTGGCCCTATTTTGATGAGTTCTTCGTTGTGCTATCATTTTTGGGTAATTGGGTAAAACTAGAAAATAATTTAGAATGGGATAGGCCCTGCATCACCGTCCTTCCTAGAAGCGCAGAGGATTAACATCCATCAGACTTCTGAGGATAATTTCAAAGCGCCTTTAATTTTGAAAGAGTTAGGAAGACCCTTCTTGTTTTCCAACAATGCTGCATGCTAAAAATGTAGCATCCTTCTACTACTAGGCGCACATCATCCAGTGCAAAGAGAAATGTGAAATAACCATGGAGAAGTTGGGGGACGCCACTCCACATCGTGGCCTACGAGTTGGGTGGAGAGGTTGGTTTGGTGATATATGGGGAAGATGGTGGTTCAGGCCTCTGTCTCTCTTCGCTTTCTCTCTCTCCCCCCTCTCTTTCTTCGAACATACCCAGCCCTTGCAGATTGAGTTTGGGGTTTTCTCCCTAAGTCCTTAAAAGTCATTTTACAAAGGGGTTTATTTGTTTTTAAAATTTTGAAGATAAGGTGGGTGGGAAAATAGGACAAGGGGTGGAAATAGCAGCACTTTTTATTATACCCAGCTAAATAACTACTTTAACTTCTTCTTTTTTTTGGTAAACTATACTCATTCTTGTTGTGCTTCTGTCTTTCTTTTCTTTCCACCTATTTCTTTCTATTTCTCTTCATCTTTGTCTCTTTACCTCTCTCTCATTTCTACCTCTTTCTCTCTTATTTTATATCTTCTACCTATTTTTCTCTTCTTCCTAATTTTCTATTCTTCCTATTTCTCTCTTCTTCACATTTTTATATTTTTATCGTTCCAAACCGAAAATTGGGCAGAATCGAACTAGAACTTCATAGGTCCAATATGGTTCAAATACTTTTTATAAAAAAGCCGAGCTGAGTCAGACTGTGTATAAGTTCTGGTTTCAATTCTAATTAAAGGGGAAAATTGAATCGAACTGCACCGTGCCCACCCCTACTAACAAGGGTCCTAAGGGGGAGTTGGGTGAAAGTTGGATAGGGGAGAAAGGGAGAGAGAGTGTAACAACCCGGTCCTAAATTAATAGTTAAATATTAAATTATTCAAGAAAAAGACAATTTTACCCCCTGGAATATTTAAATGATTTTAGAGTTGAATTTTTTTGTTTAGGGATGATTGTGGTGAAACTGTAACATCTCAGTCCGAAAAAGTAATAAAATAATTAAAATAAAAGGTGTTTGTACCATATCTGACTCTCCACTCATTTAGTGACATGCGGATTAGTGAAACTCCCCAAGTGCCCAAGGCTCCGAACAATCGGTATCGGCTACCAATGATAGTGCTTCAAAGCAGCGAACGGTCGATACCGCCTAGCAGAGTCCACAATCGGTACCCCCTATCGATTCTGTAGAATCAACCTCGAAAGGCCGGCCCGAAATATCTAAAGACTCGTGTCAACCTCATAGGACCCTCCCACGAGTCCCACATCGAAATTAAGTATTAAGAGCATACCAAATGCCCTCTATAAATAGGCCCCTTCCCTACAATACAAGGGTAAGACTTTTCAGCTTGACTTTTATGCTAAATATATTGTCAGCAGCAAAAGCTCTTAGAAAACAAACTTACTTTGGCATCAGAGGGTCTTAGGCTGGTTCCACACCGGTTCCATAGACCTTATGAGTCTCGACTTCCTTCTATTCAAGATCAGTATCCAAAGACAGGAAGAATCCGCGTCTAGCACTCAATTGATCTCTAGATCGTCCACATCACTTGTAAGTTGCACTCATCTCTATCTGTTCAGTTTTAGTGCCAACAAAAGGAAATAAATTTAAATGAGAAAATAAATTGAAATAAACAATAAAATAAAATGATTTGAATTAAATTAAGGGTTTTGAAAATTAAAATATTATTTCATATTAAAAAGGGGCAAAAAGGTCATTTTAAGTTTGGGAAGAAATTTGGAAATTCCAATAGTACAGTTGCGTAGAGCACATCGAGATGAGTCCGTAGACACGTAGTGGGCTCAAATTTGAGTTATAATGAGAGATATATGATCAAAATTCAAGTAGGGGCAAAATCGTAATTTTTCAAATCAGGTTTTTAAAACCAGAATTTCTCTCCCTTTCTCTCTCTCTCTCTCTCTCTCCTCCCCCGTCGCGCGCAGAACGCCCCCTCCCCCGACCAGATTGTGCAGCCACCATCTCCAGAGCCACCGGCCACGAGACTGGTCCCAAAACAACCGGTCCGGCCCCACCGTCCTACCCAACCCTTCGCCGCCACCGTCCGTCCGTCCAGCCCCTGGAAAACACAAAATTTCTGGCCGGTGTTCACCCGAATTTCCAACCACTCGTTCTCCCTCCTCCGGGCACTGTTTTTGACAAGTGAGGTATGGTTTCTCACTTATTTTTCAAGCTATAGCTAATGGATGGGTAGGATTTGATTAATTTCTAGCCTAGTTACCTCGATTTGTAACCCTAAGTTTGGCCGGTTTTAATTTAAAATTCCGACCACTTGCCATCCGAATTGGACGTTGCCGTAGTTGAATGAAGTGTTCCACTCGTCAAGTAGTAGCTGTAGTCGAAAGGGTGGCCCTCGGTTTTGAAGTTTTCCGGCCACCGGTATCGGTTAGGACACCCACGCCCTGCCGGCGCATGGGCACTGTAGTGGAGGTGCATTATGTTCCAATCCGATCTCCTTGTTGTCACGAGTTCATACGTGTGCTCGGATTTCAAATCGGATATCGTTTGAATCTTGAACGAACTTCGCCTATTGTGTGTTATCTGGGTTCTATATGTTCGAACTGTCGGATCATCACCAATTTAATATATGTTGATCTAGGCACTCCTAGGATCGTATAGGATTTTGTAAATCATGAATCGGAGTCCTAGATATTTCGATTCGATAATTTGAAGTTCAATTAAAAGATAATCGTCGGATCGTATGATCGTGATCAATCCGACCATTCGATTCGGACCAAAATTGCAGGACGTGATTAGTAAACCTTGTGGAACTCATAGGAACTTCCGGCTGGTAAAACGGAGGTCGTGGGCCCCGCTGGCCCGGATGACCGAGTTTAGGGAGTTTGACCCTCGGTTGACCGTGAGTATTCTGAGGTAGTCCTACCTTTGAGGACTGCTAGAATAACTTTATTGACGAGTCTTGACCATTATTTGAGTTATGTTGATTTTATGGGTTTATGAGATTATTTAAATTGTTTTAAATTGTGGGGTTATCGGATGTAAATATTATTTGAAGTTTTTGCAATATTTGAAACGATGTAATATATGATTTTGGGATACTTGAATTATTGGTTGTGAAAGTGAGTCATGGAACTCGACTATGATTATTAAGAAGTGGGTGGACATTTGTGGTTAAGTGTATTTCGTTTTCCAATTATGGAATTTTGTACATATTGAGTTTTGATTGAAAATTGATTCAATATGGGTTATTGAGGATATGGGATAAAGGCTACTATTTTTCATTAATTTACATTATTATGATTATAAATAAAGTATATGGACTGGGTAGTGGTTATTTAATTAATTAATTATTATTTATTTATCTATTTAGTTATCTATTACTATTAAGATTATTAGGATAGTACGAAATGGAAGGGTTCGTTAATTGGGTTTCGACATGATTAATAAAAATTAACTAAATATCTAATTACATGTCTATATATATATATATAATGGTTTGGAAATGATGAATTATGGATTCTAGTTCTCAATAGTATGTGGTGTAAATTCATAAGTGGTTGAGAACTGATTTTAGAAAGTTGAGAATGGGAAACTTTATGATAAGTTTTGGAATATGGTTTTCAAACCCTCCACAGGAGTATCCCCAGTTGCCTTGAAATAGTTTTGTCATTTATGATAACGCCCCACAAGTTTAGGGGACCCCTGAACCGTGTGGTGCGACGATTGCAACTCAGGCTGACTAATGGTCCCCTGAGGCATGCGAGGAATGCGGCTCGAGTCAAATGTCTCATCTGGCAGATTCCCCGTCTTGGAAACTTGTTGATGATAAATGGCCCGAGTTTGGTAATGAGCCGAGAAACTTGAGATTGGCTCTTTCATCTGATGGATTCAATCCCCACAATTCTCTAAGTAGCAGATATAGTTGTTGGCCAGTTATTTTAGTTACATATAATCTCCAACCATGGTTGTGCATGAAACGAAAGTTCATGATGTTGACTTTATTGATTTCCGGTCCTAAACAACTTGGAAATGATATAGAAGTCTACTTGGAGCCTTTTATTGATGATTTAAAATCTTTGTGGGATGGGATTAGAGGAGCGTATGATGCACACATAGGAGAATACTTTACACTCAGAGCTGCATTACTGTGGACAATTAATGATTTCCCCGCCTATGGAAACTTATCTGGTTGTAAAGCTTGTCCAATATGCGGCGATGATACACCTAGTCATAGGTTGAAAAATGGCCACAAAATTTGTTACATTGGGCATAGAAAATGGTTACCAATTAATCATCCATATAGAAGGCAACGTGCAACTTTTAA